TCGAGGGTGGGAGAGAGTCTTTGTTTCATTTTACAGTGGCCTTTCCTAGGCAGGAACACACCAGGGACATAGAGTGCTTTTAATCCAGAAGAACTAGGGGCCAAAGGAAAAAAAGATAATTAAACCTGAATCGGATCAGAGAATTTTCTTTAGTATTTGCTCGAAGGATATTAAGTTGCTTCTGAATAGGACAAGGTAAGGGAATGATAGTTTTCTAAATTAAGCAAATTTATATTTGGATCAAGGCAACAGAAGTATACATAGCTGTGGGCTGTGCCATTGATGTCAGAAGAATGATACAGGGGCAGCCTACGGCCCGTCCCCATGCCAATTCAGAGACACAAGACAGCATGTCAGATGTCGACCTTTTCGAAATGGACATGCAGCGATTTTATTTAGTTAAAACCTTAAAAAGATATTAGAAGGTGAAATATGATTGTGTCTAATGAAAAGGCTAAAAAAAGTGTGTTAATATTTGTCAAATTTTACTTTAAAAAGTCCTGGTCTTTATTACTTGGAAGCAAAATTATCTTCTGAAGAAGGTTATTTAGAAAGAGTAAATTTATATAGCTAAAAACATTGTGCTACCATGTATAATTAGCTGCTCATATTAATGTTTTTCACAAGCGTCCTCATTAATGAAAACCGAACAATGATGAATGACTTGAATTAAACAGTCAGAGGATATTTTTACCTCTAATAATAATAACTGGAGGAGTCAAATATATTTATAAGTCAAAGATTTTATTTCTTCTCTCAAGTATATAATATTCCATATTAGTCTTTATTGAATTTCGATTTGAAAACTAACTAGTATTATGAACTATATTCAGAATATGAAAAGGAACTTTGGCACAATGGGAAGGATATTTGGAGGTACACAAAACTCTAACCAGGCAATCAAATGTAAATGGAAATTCAGGTGACTGGTGATTATATTTTCAAATAAGACCAATATTCTGTGATTTCCCTGGAAAACACTGGTATTTGTGATTAGAAAAGATTTAGTCCACACCAGTTATCGCATATATAATTGAGGATAGCGGCCCAGTCCGCTAAGGATATTAAGGATGAGAGCAGTTAAGTGGCTCTTCAGTATCACAGAGTGGTGGCCACTCCAGGAGCAGAAGTCACAGAAGTCAGAAAGTAACCCGATTCCATGCCCACACTCTCTTCCCCAGGGAATGTCATCAGGGAGAGGTAAGGGAAAGCTTTACCTCGAACTCTGGTCCGTTCACTGGACCCTGCTTGTGATCCAGGCTGCGAGCCCCCTTGGGAGCTGGGCTGAGAGCTAGGGGTGCTGGAGCTGGAGGAACTGCCACTGCTGGTTCTCTGCAAGGGGCTCTCCAAGACAGGCTCAGTTCTGCGGAGGTCAGGGTTGCTGCAAGGGTGGCAGAGCACAGTGATGACCCTCTCAAGACCTTGCCATTGGTAGACACAAACATAGTCCAGTCCTATCCCCAGTGCAAAGGGATAAAGAGAGTGTTTATGTAACCTTAATCTAAAGGGGTCAATGGAAATGATAGTCATGCTATTCTCTGTGGAGCTCCTGGCCAGGTAGTAGATCTGGACCAGATGAGCTGTTAACCCAATTCTTGGGTCATCGCACTAAAAGTATTAACTCTGAAATGGTGAATCTTCATTGTAAAAAACTTGAAAAATATTAAAAGATAAAAATAAATAAGGAAGCAACACATGCAATTTCTGAACCAGGAGATATTCAACTATGTTTTACTATTTATGGTATATTACCTTCTAGTCTATTTTCTTTTGTATCTATGGAGGCATACCGTACATTCGGTTTTGCAGCTTGCTCTTTCCCCCCCATAACACTGCATTGTGAGCAGTTTCTTATGCTTCTAAAAAAAAAAAATCATGGCTGCATACCAGTCCATTATATAGATGAATCAGTTTAACCATTCCTCTAATGTTACACATTAAAGTGTTTCCAATACATTGCTGTGACAAGCGACACTGAAAGAAATAACTATCTACATGCACACAAATATTCAGTCACGTCTCTTTCCTGGAACTGGAATTCTTGGGTGAAAGAACATGAACTGGGGTATGTGTGCATATGTCTGTACATGAATGTATGAAAGTATTACTAGTTTTTGCTGAGCTGTGTGACATGGTCCATCTGACTGAATTGTCACCATGCTTTATAATGAGCAGTTTGCTAATCTGTAAAATAAAATTGTATCTTGCTTTAATGCAGTTTAAAACATTACTACTCAGGTAGATTAATTTTTACTCATTTATTTGCCATTTATTATTCCTCTTCTGTGAATTGCTTAGTCAAATTCTCTGCTTGTATAGCTAGTGGTGTATTTGCATTTTTAAATTTCTTGCAGGAAATTTTTACATACCTTGGCTATTATCAAAGAGAGGTGTGGTTTCAAATAATTATTAAGTTCTAATTCAAGAAAAGTTTAGTTTGTCGGCAGGCTACTAGCCTTACCTTTCATAAAATCTTACTGCATTATTCACTTTCATATATTTCCTTCTCTCAAAATTGTGATATTTATATACTTACTCAGCTGGTTTATACCAGGCATTGGGTCAGGAATTTGAGATATAGTAATGACTAAAACACAGCCATGTCCTCTGCCAGCTTACCCAGGCACATAAAACCGATTTCATTCATATATTGCCTGCAGTGAGCACAGGGCAATATGAGAGCACGGAGTAGGGACACCTAGGCCACTTTTGGTGATCATGGAAGCTATTGCAGAAGAGGAGACATTTAAGCAGCGATTGTGAAAGGCAGCTGCTGAAGATTTTATGACTTCATTATAAAAATAACCATAGTCAAAATTTCTACAAAGCTCTTCCTTTTTAATTGATAACTTATAGACCTTTTCATTTTTTCTTAAAAGTGCATAATGCTGGACATGGACGATTCAGTGAGACCTGTGACTCAAAGCTCATATTTATTACCATTCAGCTGCTAAGGGGAGCCACATTGGTCCCCTCCATATTTCCAACATCTTCAGTTCTCAAAGCAGCATTTCACATCTTGCTAATGGAGTCACTGTAGTGCTATGATTTTAATGCAGTGAGATATTATATTAAAATGTAAATTTATGCCTTCATTTTGCTCAGCCCATTTCAAGAGTATCACCTGCATACCAGGTATCTGCAGTGTGATGAGTGTCAGATGTTTCACACATAAATATGAAAATAATATGGCCTCTTTCCTTGAGACATTTGCAAATTAGTCTACCAAAAACCTGGTCACAAAACGGCGTCCATTTAGCAGGAACTAAACCAAAAAATATCTTTTTGAAAATGTAAGAATCTTGCTTTCTGGTAACGTATCTGCCGAAAATATTTGATAGAGTTACAAAAATTCTTAAATATTTGGTTATTGGAAAACCAAAATTTATTGATTTTGATCACATAAATGTAAAATTTATGACAATATTTATCTTTTAAGTTTTTAGGGTAAAAGGGTTGCTAAGTTAGCACACCTATAAAATCGACTTCAAAAGTGATTGTTGACAAACTTCAGGAAAAGTTTTAAATTTCTTAGTATTTTTATGGCATGCCTTTGTATAATAACTATTTTGGTGAAAACTGTTAGCATCTAATTGACTGAAATATATTTTGATCCATATTGGACATAATCCTGATTTGGAGAATACCGAAAATGATAAATGTGTAATACTTCTGAAGTATCCTACATTTCAAATTTTTCATTCTTCATTAAGAAACAATCCATCTTCTTTAATTGCAAAATAATGAATTCTTCCTATTGTCCTTTTTTATTAAACAGTAGTGGTCAGGAATTATTTACATATTATTAGTAAGTTCTATGAATTTTTTTCTAAAACTGTATTGCTAACCAAAGTGTATTACAGATTTAGGGTGATGGGCATACTAAGGTTTTTTGGTAGTTGCTCTAATTTTGTGGAATAATAATATAGTATTTTTTGTATTAAAAAAATCTATTGAGGGAAGGATGGCTGTGAGCTCTGAGTTTTCTCCCTTGGAGGCTGTGGTGCGGCAGTAGGATCCAGCTATTAGCTCTAACGTAGCACTCCTTTGATCATTTAACGAAAACTTTTTTTAACCTTAAGCATCTACTTTGTGAGACTCATTGGATCAGTATGAGGGATGGAGGACAGCACAGGTCATAGGGCAGACAGTCAAGTTACAACACAATCCTAGAGGGGAGATATGTGCTGTGGAGATAATAGCAAACAAGCCAATACTCTGCATGCTGTATATGAAAGAATCTATAAATATTGCTGGTGTCTAGAGAACAATGAATGTAGCTTGGATCAGTCAAGGTGGTATCAGGAAGGAGACAGGACTTGACTGGGCTTTGGAAGGGTGAGGGGGAAGGCTGGGGGGACAGCCTGAACAAAGACACAAGGCTTAGAGTTTTCCTAGGGCTCATTGATGTATAGGACGTCACCTTTCTGGAGGACCAAGTCTGTGTTAGGAAACCCTGGGAGAATCGGTCATCAGAAGAAACGAGTGGCTTATGGCAGCACTGGCCCATAAAGCCTGGCAGAAAACATGGACCTCCCAGGGTAGGCTTACGAATGACTGGCCAGGAGAGAGGCAAGTGACCAGGTAGGACACTGCTGTCACATCAGATGGTAATGCCCAGGCCAGGACTGTCCTAGCATAAAAGAGGGGCATAGGCATTAGCAGAACCAGCTGGGATGAGCATGCATCGCTGATGGAACTCAGAGCCTCTTTCTGTGTGAAACTAATTGGTTCCCAAGGGCATTAAATCCCTGACCTGGGCCTCATTAGCACAAGTCCTCCCCACTGCAGCTAGTCAGCGTGGGGGCTGATCTTAACAGGGTTGCTATTTTTGCTGCTGGAGACTGGAAAAAGTATTTAGTTTCTACGTAACCACACATAGAAATAGAAAAAACTTTAAAATGACTTTTCTATCTTGTTTTTTTGTAAAGTATGAGTATTTTGAAAAAATGTCTTACTGTTCACATTTTTCTCTTCCTTATTATGTAGTAATATGTGGTCTAGCCTTGGGGCCCAGGGGTCTGAAATATATGCTCTTAAATTGATTTCAGAATTTCATGAAATAATAGATTTCTCTTGTTCACATATTAACTGAGCCTACTCAGATCCAAATGTGTAAAACATTGAAAACATTCATATGGCTTTTTTTTAAATGCTAACTTTTAGTTCAGATATTTGCCATCCCTCAGACAATGCCGTTTGGCATATGAAATATACAGGAAAATGAAAAAATTCACTTACTTGAATAATATAAAAAGTCAAAACAAAATTAGGATTACAAAGTGATTTTTTGGCCCAAATACTTGGGCCAAGTCTATAATTAACTGGCTAAATGCCAAAATTCACTTAGTTTGTTCCTTGATGACACAACCAATGAGGATAGAGGAGCCATAAGAAAACAGGTTTGGGATGGGACAGAGAATTATTCTTTGAAATTAAGCATTTAGTCATTGGGTTTTGACTGGGTGTTTCTGGCTTAATTTAAAGCTTTTCATATTTTTAATGTACTTGGTTGATCGAATTTTAATTTGCTTTAAAAGAACAGATGAATCAAAGTTAAATATTAAAGTGCCTCGAATTTTTAAAAAATGGTATTTTAAGAAATGAACAAATCGAATGTTGATTTAAACTCAAGTGATCTCCTTGACAACATAAAGCATTTGGGAGTCCATAGAGCATCTGAGAACTGCCCTTTGACCTTACAGCCTGAGCAATGCCCAGCTGCACATACATGAGACAGAAGGGCAAGGAACAGCTGATGGGGTCACGGTGACCATGTTTTCAGCGGGACTTTAGCCATCTAGGAAGGGAACTATTAAAAGCACATAACGATAGTAGTTCTAGCTTTAGTAGGGTAGTTTTGGTGCTTTAAATAGGTCCCATGGGACAACAACCCTTAAAAGGTAGTGAATATCACAGGATCAATAACCCTGAGGTTAAGAGGTGCTGTTAAAAGACTCACTAAACTACATGGGGAGAAAGGTGGAGGCAAAATGTTGCCCTGCCAGTCAATGGATCACGAGCTCCCTTTCTCTTGGGAAAATGAGGCAGCGATGTCAGCTGTGTTCATTACTAACAGATTAGCATCGGGTGACGCTAAAGAGTGAGGAGGCTGGTGCTGAGGCGGCTACCAGGTTTCAAATGCTGGCTCCACTCCTTACTAATTTTGTCACCTTGGGTAATTTACTTAACTTATGTTCATCTCAGTTTCCGCGTCTATAAAATAGAGGGGGTCATAACCTCAAAGAGCTGTTATATGGTTCAAATTAGTTAACATCTAATGCACACTGAATAGTACTCTGCATAAGTAAGTGTTCCACAAGTGTTTAATGAATAAAAAAATAGTAAATTGTCTCAAACTAAGCAGAAGGCAGGGATCCGCAGGGGTGGCCCAATAATATTTTCGTGACCAACTGAAGCCAGCACAGCTGTACCTCCTCCAAACTGTATGTATTTAAAAACATATTTTTTATAGCGATCTTTTTTTATTTAATGTGGCATGTGGAGATAGTAAAAGAATGACATAACAAGCAGTATTTTTCTGGAAAAAAGAAGGCTACTGAAAATAGTAAAGCTTTTTTTCTCCTTCATGTTATAGGTATATGCTTGTATATGCCCATTCTAACTCAAGAGTCTTCTATTCAGGATACTAAGTAGTTTATTGATTAAAACATACTGTTCCCCAAATTATTAAAAAACATCACACATTCTGCAGTTACTATATGACGTCTTGCAACTAGTAACTGTAGTTCATTAGTACTGAATTCAGGAAGCAAAACTGAACTTCTTAACCATTAGCTTTGCCTTCTTTTTCTTCACTGGTTTATCACAACAGTAGTTTATTTCTCACTCAAATCACAAAATGCAAAACAGTTAGAATTGCTCTCTCTGTGGCTCTTCTCCAAATGGTGACATGGGGACTCAAGAAGAATTTTGCCCCTAATAATACCTGTAGCTTCAAAGAGTTGCATGTATATTATATCTTCTGATATAATATACCTGGTCCCAGAGTCAGGAAGCCTTGGTTGAATCACTGGGTCCCAAGGAAATATGCAGCCCTGCACATAGCAGGTACTCAATATACATTTGCCGAATTTACCAAATGAAATAAAAAAATAATAACAAAACGTCCTGAACCTGTCTCTTATTACATGTGTAATCTTTCTTGGGATTCATTCTAATTGCTAATTTTCCAATCTCTTTTAACAATCATTTAAAAGAAAAGCCTGAGAGGACAAAAGGCGTATTGACTAAGTATAAGAAGTATAGCTTAGAAGCACTGTAAAAGATGAATTATTTAAAAGCACCCCTTTTCTATAGCTTTACAGATGGGCAGTTATCTGACAAATGGTACAAAAAGAACTCTGAAGACCCCTTTAGGACCACCAGAAAGTAGGAGAGTCTCTACTACAGTAGTGGCCCCCATTGAATCTCTTCTCTCAGTGTCCATGTCCCTGTGTATCTCCTTTATACACTGACTCAGGGCTTGACCCTGTGACCTGTGATGGCCAATGAGACATCAGCAAAGATGATGTAAGCACAAGTTGGACTAGCACTTGTGCATCGGGGCTTTCCTTCTTGGACTGCTGTCCTGAGACTGCCAAACAGTAAAGAAGCCCGGGACGAAAGACCAAATGAAGGTGCAGGTGACCCATCAGCTAAGTGCAGCTGCACGACTGAGCTCAAGTGAGACCAAGAGAACTTCTTAACAAACCCACAGTAGGGTAGTTTTGGTCCTATAAATAGCACCAATTGTGAGAAATAATAAATTGTTATTATTTCAGGCCACTAAGTTTCAGGGTTCTTTATTATGCAGCAAAGGTGAACTAACGCTACGTCTATCACAGTAAATAAACCACATCCTGAAGCTTTTAAAAATGAAATCCAATCCACGTTGCAAAGTCTGATTCACATCTTGAATG